GATTTCTTAATATTACCACATGGACCTTCCCCTGTAGAGAAAGAATACTGTTATGTAAAGAAAAAGAAGAAACACAGCCTATTCTTTCATTAGCACCAAAAGGGATGAAGTGAGAACACGCAGCCAGGTTGGAGCATGTTGAAAACAAAGGACTTTCTAGATTCTTTATCAAACTGTGCAGATGAAAATGACACTGCATTCTTTGTGCAGCACAGACATACTCAAGGTAGTCATAAAATAGCTGACAGATGGATACCTACCCATCACAATTTAGACATGGCATAGCAAAAGCGAGCACAGACTAAGCATTACACCATGTATTTTTCCTAGTAAGCAGGCTTTGCTACAGACCCTCCCTGCTGTGACTGCTGCCATTACATGTGCTAGGGAATCATTTCAGTGAAGGACATACAGCAGCTCCACAAAATGACTTAATACACTCACCAAAGCTGAACTGCCTTGCCACATACGACTTTTCCTTGGCCAAGAATAAGAATAATACAAGCAGAAAACAGAAAATGGATATATTAATGATAAAACACAAGATATTCTTTGAAACTCCTTTGTCCAAAACCAAAACCTTTTGAAAACCTCTGGTCAAAAAATGTTTTTGTCCAAGTCCAGTGAGAGAATTATATTGTCAAATATCCTAAAATTGACGAGCACATTGATTTAACTCAATATACCTATCTGCGAGGAAATTATTATTAACCAACTATAGATCAGACAAAAGATTGTAGAAACTACTTAGCATATATATGACAGAAGTTGATTGAAAAGCAAAAAAATGTCCAAAACACAGCTTTTTTTCTTTTCCTCCTCCTCCAAAATGAGATATTAGTCTAAATCATATCTAAGGAAATAGTACCAAAAAAAATCCTAGCAAAACAGAAGTTTCTAGATCCTACAACACTGAAGGAAACAGGTAAGAACAAGAAGAGTCAGTTAACACTTTCAGGGATGTTACCAGGGTTTACAGCCTCAAACTGCCAGGAACATCTGCCCAGGTGCTACAGGCCATGAGACATCACTGGTCACAGCCTGGCACGCTGAGACTTTGCCATGCTCTATCTGAGGTGCCATGCAAGGTCACAAAGCTTTGGCTTTGAGGTAGTGAATTAGGTTGAGCAAACTGTCATTTTGCAGAAAAGCAAAATTTCGCCAGAAATCTGCAACTAGCTATTTTCATGGCTACCTTCTCTGATTTTTTTCTGCATAATGGAACTAGATATTTGCATAAGGAAAGTGGTTAATCTGCTTATTTGTTGAGGGCTTCCTAATAGTCATCCTTAGCATATACCCACCGCATTTCTACGCTTCATATGCACGTGTCTCCACACTCATACACACATGCATACAAGTGAAGGAGTTCTTCTATACATGGCTCTAGATGATCCTATCAGGTTGTTAAACAGTTAAAAGATTAAAATTTCAATTAATTTTCCTAATGAAGAGGTAACTTAACTGAACTAACTATTGAGGTACTGAAGACACTGCATCCTGAATGCAAAGGAAAGTTTGCAAAAGCAGAAAGAAAGCACCATTTTATATCTGGGTTTATGTGCTGTGCTATTTCTCACGTAGGTTTTATACCTGGGTTTATGTACTTTGCTATTTCTTAGTAAAAACAGAAAGCAAGATGAAAGATTCAAATTCTAAAATAAGTCCATAGATTAGCCTAACATTAAGTAGAGACTAAATTTATATCACCAGTGTTGATCAGAAAGAAAAGTAGCATTACATAAAATATGCTAAATAACCAGGTGATTATTCAAGTTCATTTACGGAATCTCACAAATCATGGTAACTATATCTGCTCTAAGTAAATACAACTGAACGCAGCAGCATGTGCAGTCACCAACCAAGAGTCATGAACATATACTTGTCCATATATCTCTAAAAGTCTAGGTAACCTAATGATCCTGAACACACAGCAACTGCCCAAAATGAACTTTTTTTTTTAATTTCTAAAATATCTAGCACAGAAGCTGATCTTATCCTCTATGTTCAAATGAAACTGTCACTTTCATCTGCTTGCTAAATTTCATTTTGCACAAAAATCACATCTGTTTCTGAGGAAATTTTGAAAATTTCCCTTCTCCACTGTATAGAGTATTCATCAGTTACACAATCATTCCCATCATGTGCCCCTCTCTCTAATCAATAACCAGCCACCTCCTCGGCATCATTCCAACAGTTGGTTTGAAAGAGGGATTGGAAGGATGAGGGGATCTGAAGTGCCAGAAAAATCTTGTTCATATTTAAAGAATAGAAAACTGAGGTTTTTATTATATTAATGACGACTAAGAAACATATATCAGTAAGTGAAAAAAAAAAAATGAAGGAAAGAATATACTCTTCCAACCTCCACTCTTACAGTTCTTTATTTGCTTTAGCCACTGCTCATGTTTATCCTCTGCTCCTCCCCTGCCCATCAGCCTTCGATATGAAGCATAAGCTCCCAGTCTTCAAAGCCTCTCCTTCTAATACACCTGTTTCAGCCTCTTAATCATTTCACTGATCTATAGTTTCCTTTCGCTATTCCTTTTCTCTGAATTCCAGCTTGAGGTAAGTTTATTCTCCTACATGCACAAAGTAGGAGCTTCATGCTTATTTAGCTGTATTCCTGTAGTAAATGAGGACAGAAGTGACATGAGAGTTCTCTCAAAAAGGAAAAGGAGTAGGTCTCAGAGAAGAGCTGCTTTTGTCTAGTTCATATAAGTAGGCAGTAAAACATGAAAGCAGATAAAATTCTCGAGAATGGCTGACAGTCCTTCCCAAGAACCAGGACCTAAGCAATCCACAGAGCTTCCAAATCCAATCCAAAGATAGCCTGAATTCCAGCACAATGTGAAAAAGATTCAGAAATATAAAAGTAACCAATGTAGTTATAAGAGACAGAGCCTCATCTGCAAATGATAAGCAGGGAGAAAAAGAACAGGAATAGAAGATGACTGAGATGAAAATCTGCATGAATACCAAAGAGAAAGGTCTCAGTTACACTTCAAGGGAGCTGAGCTGTCAAGCTCTCCTTCAGATCCACTTAAACCAACACAGGAAATTTTTGGTTGATGTAATTTAAACTAAATAAATATTATTAGCCTAGAGGGCTCTTTTTTGTTGTTGTTATCTACCTGACTATGGGTGACATTTGAGATACAGTTTAGGATTGCTACTTCAGTTTGCATAGAGGTGGGAGTATTTTCATGTTCTAAAACAGCACAGATATGTAGGAGAGGAAAACTTTTAAGTATTGCCCAAGTCTGAGATAAGGAAGGAAGACAACTTGCTTCAAAAGCTAGAACTAACAGCTATGAAAGTAGGCTGGAGCTGAACGAGGAGATGACTCACCAAAAAAGAAAAGAGAACGATGACAAAAGTATGTGTATTAATGTCAGAAATATCAGAAGCAGAAGGAAGAAAAGCATGGAGAACAGATTTTGAGATCTGATGAGAACGGGATGGCTGGAAACATTAGTAGGAACATCCATAAAGGACTTGAGAGGGTGGAAGACAGAAAGGAAGAAATCCAGAATGAGTGGGAGGAAAAACACTCATTTGCAATCACTTTGTCAGAAATACACTAGATTATTCCTGTGGTACATCTTTCTTCCACAGTTAAAAGGAATTTCTGTGTATATGTGGCAATGCAATAAAAGCATCCAAAACTACTTAATGAACAGTAATTGACTATTGAAAGAATTTACTAAGGATCAAATCCAGCTATTCTTTCACAGAGAGCATTCCCATAATGGACATAAGTCACTATCCCACACAGACAGCAGCTTAGAAAACATGAAGAAAAGCTTAACACTGCTTCAGGCATAACTTTCTCTTCAGGCATTTTGAGTGCCTCACCTGCTGCTCTGCCTAAGAGAATTTGCTGGTTAAAATGTCTATTCTGCCGGGCAGCCACAGGAGCTAACATTAAAGGGAAGGCCGCAGCGCTGAATGGCCCCTCAGCAACGTCCTGGTGCAGAATCGGGGCGGGAGGGCTGGAGGGGCGAGCACCGAACATATGCAACGTGCTTCCCATTAATAAAGAACCCATTTCCCTGTAAATAGCCTTATGCTGACTAATAAATGGACCAAACCATTATCAATAATGGAAAATCCATTTACTTAGAAGTAATACAAATTTATTTTGAAAAGTGCTTCTGCAATATTACAAGCTCACTGCTGAGCTGCTCCCATTTTTTCTTGACAAATTTGTTATTTACGACTCTTTGCTAAAGCCAAGACTATCGTCTGACAGAGCTGCACCATGACAGAACAGGCCCAGGACTGAACTCATTTGCAGTTCCTGCACACTCACTGCGGAGGAGGAATACATCACTGTGCACTTTTGCTGCAGATTATTTTACCTATGCTGAACAGCTATCCTGGCTGGGGAGCAGAGGAGCAACAGGAGGACGTTGCTTCTCCCTGACCATTTGCTCACAGGGGGAATGACGGACGACGAGCCCCTTGTCATGCCTCTTGTCATCGCCATGAGTCATAAACTGAGCAGAAATGAGCACAGCAATAAAGGAAGTTTTTCAGTTCCTTTCTACTCCCCCGCACCCTAGCAAGGGTTATGACAAACTAGCCTTAAGTACTTAAATGAAAGCATCTCGGTGAGTCAGTTGTTTGCAAATAGCTCTGCCTTCTTTTGCATTTCATCTCTATGGGTACTTCTTGCATGTCATCTTTATGGTATACTTCTTGCATTTGGATAGAAGTTTATTCCCCAACTTTTGCGTGCAGCTAAGCTCTCAGGAGCAGGGCTGTAGGCTCTCTCTGTGCCCTTGGAACTTGTTGGGATGATCAGTATCAGCCCACGGCAGCTGGAGCTTCACTTTTTAAGTTTGGATCACTGAACGAGGTAGCCATTCATTTTGTCTGTCTCTTACCACTGATGTGTCATTTCCCCAGAAGTCAAATTAGCTGTTGAAAATACACTTTTTTTCGTGAAATATCTTTCTGAACTGCCATTGCTGTCAGTATTCCAGGCTTTCACAGGGATTCTCAAGGTAAAAGGATGACCAACTGCTGCTGAGGCACACAGCAGCCTTTGCTCTTGACTGCAGATCTGTTTCCCCATATCTCTCTCTCAGGAAAAAAAAAAAAAAAAAAAAGCTGTTGAAATTCTGCAGTTTAAGCAGGCCCAGTTGCTAAACATATCCCCCTGGTTGGTTCATTTTCTTGCAGTAGAGCTGCCTTCCGATTTCACAAGAGTTGACTCACTTTGACACAATGTTCCAAGATAAACACCCACGCAGTGCAACATTCAGACTTATTCTTTTCTCCACATATACTGGCACTCTCATCAAATATCACCTGAATATCACTTCCCTCAGCTGAACTGAATTGCCTCCATAGATTCCCTTACAAATCTATTATAATTGAAAAAATTGCTATTGAGAGTTACTTACAACTAATGTTACATTGCTGATCGGTAAAGCTATTACTCGAGCACAGGCTGAAGTTTTGACTTGAAAATATTAACAGATAATGTATTTTAAGTATGTTTTTTGATAAAGAACAATAACTGTTGAAATTCATAAAGTTCTCTGAATTCAGAGATGCTGTAGAAATAAGTTGTTTTTTTTCCAAGGCGTTATTAAAAAAAAGTTTAAAAAAAAAACTGAAAAAAAACTATGAACGCTTTCCAAAGCCAAATAATTAGACTGAGTGTCAGAAAGAACAATATTTAGCTGCATTGCCAGAAATACTAGATGGTGAATCACAGGAGTCAGAGCAATTATTCACCTAGACTATTTTGAACAGTTCAAAGACATCAGCAAAACTGACATTTCGTGAATGCAGGAATTTGTGTATGAAGAAATCATTTAAAGAATCAAACCAAAAAAAAAAAAGCTAAGGAACACAACTAAGGGCATAAACAAATAGTGTACATGCACATAAAGAAGATAAACGCAGACATTATCACTGAATGCTATGAGAAAGCATGATAGGAGCTAGGTAAGATATTAACTTATATCATACATGCGATTAAATGTAACTCAATCAGCAACCAAGAGTAGAATGCATGACAACACTGTGCAAACCACACAGGAAGAAGGTAGAGGTCTTAGGATATGCTGTAAAAGCAATAGAATTTAAAAAAAAAAAAAAAAAAAAAAAAAAAAGGAAATTTTAAAATACATAATTTCCTTACAGTACCAGTCCTCCAACTCGCAACAGTAGAATCAGTACATTATAACTACTGTATGGTCCAAAAAGCTAGAAAGCTAGAGTTTTTATCATTCTACAGTGACTTCAGCTGGTTCATGATGTGCAGTTACTTCTCTAGTTGTTTAGAAATCAGTGTTCGAACACATCCGCAAGCTTGTCCTCCATATGGAATAAATTATGTTCCGCAACATTCTGAGATCACTCCACTAAGACTTTGATTGCCATGCTGCTGAAATGCTAGAAATACAAATATCTCTTTGAAAACTATGACATCAACCCAAGAACTAAAAGCCACATTCTTTTTCCAAAATTATTGAGGTCACCAGTAACATTTCTTCTTATTTGTTAGCAGGTCTTTGATGAAATGACTGGTTTTAGACGGTATATAACTTGCGTAATGCAAGTTCAAACAAATAAGGAGGTTTATACATATGAGGACTATGGAAGATGTGATCATGTGACATGAAATCTTCGGTTGTATTCAAAAACACATAGTGAGGCAGTTTTCCTAAGTCACTTTTGTTCAAACAGAATGTCCCTGTCCCTGAAAATTGGAATAGTCAAGGAATTAATTTAACAGCATGCTACCATACTGCTTAAAATAATTCTATAAGGATCACACACTTTGTAATTAAAAAGAAAAATTAGTAAGAACTGTTTTGTATATCCAAAGTAAAGAAAAAATAGCTCCAGGTGGTCATGACTGAGTTCACACAGCAGGATGTGCTAGATTTTAATACTAACAAGAAATAACGATGTTCTTTTTTTAAAAAACAAAAGAAAAAAAAATCTCTTTCAGGATCTGTTTCAACATATTTATCAAGCTCTTTCAAGTCCACATTTCACAAAATCTATACTTGGAAATTTTTACTAAAATATAATCATGATGGAATTAATAAAGGTGAATAATTTGTCTTGATAATCTAGTCTTGAGTGAAACTGAAATAACGTCCATCTTTCCACAAAATGTAGTTAAATCAACTGAGAATCGCTAAAGTTAGAATTTAACGCCTTAGACTTTTTTAAAAGCTTTTTTGGACTGCTTTATACTTTTTGGACAGATTTATACTTACAGATGATTCCTCATCACACATAAAAACAGTAATAGCCAGCTTTATTAAGCACTCCAAATAACCACTGTCAGATGATTAAGTTAGTTGAGGCTTGCTGTTTCATCTATGCATTGAGAACACGGATATCACGAGGAATTTACCTTACTTCTCGCTTTCCTCCACCAATACACTTAACTAGCTTAGCAGCACATATGTCAAAATTATGAGGAGAAAAGTATATTTACACAAGAAGATTTAAAAAATAATAATAATAAACTTAAGAAAAAGCCAAAGGAGCAGTAGCTTTCAATAGAATAAGCTTCAGCAAATATAGTTTGCCCAATTCAGGAAGCTCCACAACAGGCTCCATGTCAATTGTCTGCATTACCTTCCCACAGCTGTGAGAATATAGAGGTATTGAGACACCTCTGGCTGAAAACAACTAAGTTCATTCTCTTGGTCTTAGAACCAGCACTGCTGGCTGAGGTAGCAGAGACAGTAGAGGGGAGAAAAACACACGCCAGACATTAGTGGCAACAATATGGGATAGCAGTTCCAACATTACAGTGCAAGGCAGCAGAGACTCACAGGAGAACTGAAAACCTGACCAGAGCAAGGTGGATTATTTGTCAAATGAATTTTGTCTAGAAGCTGAGAGCCCAGAGAAAACAGAACTAGATCCATATCCTCCATTCCTGTAGATGCAACGTCTGATCCACAAGTTTTCTTTCCTACCGCCATTTATCAAAACACTTGAATAAAATTGTCCTAAGTCATTAGAAGGGGCATATTCCAAAGCCTAAGCATAGCAACAGCATGTAAGGAAGGAACATCCAGGCTCATCCATATAAACTGTGATGCATTACTCTTACTCCATGAGAATCTAGAAAACGAAAAAGGCTGCAAGAGCATCCACACCTCTCTGATCAGAAGCACTCCTACAGGCTGGGAAAGACACTCATGGGACAAGTACATCAAAGGCCAGTACATAAAGAAAATTAAGCTTCATCCTAAACCATGACAATATTGTTAGCATATTATCTCGTTGCTCACCTGTCACATTTTATACAAGGACATAGAACATTTTCTACAAGACATTAACTCCAGCAGAATCCTTGATAACTTCATCAAGTCTATAATTATGTTTGACTGCACAAGCTTATATTTTAGCTTATATTTCAATAAATACATAAAATACTCTCACAAAAATTCAAGTGTTGGTTCCAAAATATCACTCAAAACAAGCTATTTAACGATCTTATCTTTGTGTGTGTGCACGTCACATTCATATTTATTAAGGATACAAACACAAAAACAGGGAAAAGCTAACAAAGGCCTTATCATAGTTGGTTACCTACCCAGGAAATGGTATGTGAAAAGCTAACGTAAGACACATGGGAGCTGGGAGAATACTGATAAAACAGCTAAAAGCAAGCAAAATAAAGTCATCTACTTACACTTTTACTCCTGCCATGCAGAGCGCAGGTATTCTTGTTCATGATGACTGTCACTAAATCTGGAGTGTTGTGAGAGTTTCAGAGTAGAAGTTTTGCCCTTCTGACCATTCAAGTACCAACTGTTACACTGAAAGAAAATTAATTCAATTAGCATCAAGGTCTTTGCTCGTTGCTTAACATGCAGGTATAGGCTGCTGTTTAACAGTACACAAAAGTTGCGAATATGCATATCACACGACAGACATTTCATGTTCCACTAAACCATAAAATACAAACAGTTAGATCAAACCAGAATAACCCACAAAATGAGCACATCTATGAATGGTGGCTATTTTCCAGTCGCTAGCAAATGCATGCCAACCCCAAAAATTGCATAAAATTGCAGACATTTGAGGCGGAGTTTCTGCCATGGAAATATAACTACATATTGGCAGTTGTTTTTCATAATGGAATAGACCTTTTCTGGTATTAGCCAGTTTCTTGGTCTGATCTGCGAGACATCTGTTAACTTGAACGCAATTCAGAGGAGCAGACATATGCTAAATCCACAGGAAGAAAGTCTGCGAGAGTAATTTTCAAATCTAGGTGCCTAAGGATGCTTAAACCAGCAGTTGGGTACTTTTATATAGGTGTCAGATTTTGACAAATTGGTCTTTGTATTACAATAATAACTAAGCATAAGCCCTGGCTGCTGATAATGACACGGCATGGCAGCTTTGAAAGGCAGCATTCATCAGCCTCTGGGTAAAGTGCAGAGCAGTCATCACGGATGAGTACCGTTAAAGGGAAATTCATATGGCTCTGGGATGAGGCAGCTGAAAGCTTTATATTCTCATGCGGGCCGGGTACATCTCTGCAGACACTTTTCTCCTTGCCTCTGTCAACCACAATGAGACAAAGTGCAATTTCTGGCCTATATGTAGACTCAATAATACCACCAAAATAACAAGTATGGCTTATTCCTTCATGGGCAGCCACATCACTTACACGAGTTTTACAGGTACAGGAAATATTTTGCTAGGTTAGTTAACACCAGAGTAGTTTTGCAAACGTAACATTGTTGAAAACCACTAGGTTCTATCTGAGATTCTTTGACGTACCTAATTTCAAATGTCATTTATCATTATGAGAAAATTAGTCAACAAATGTTAGTTCAATATTAAGAGCAAAATATATCCATGCAAACATGCACACACATACACACAGGTGTATCTCCCACCACAGCCTACACAGAATGTTGTGACAGGTCCACAAGCTGGGCTTTCCCTCCCAAGCATGCCCCTCATCTCGACATAGGAGCAGGCCTCCAATACGTTACCCAAAGCTTTATTTTCTAAAACTCTACCTATATCTTCAGATAAATAATACAGAAGTCTTGATTATTTATGCTTTTTTTTTTTTAATAAGCAACATATAGTATTAAAAAATGAATTGTTAATATCGTAATTTTAGGTTAAAAAAACAACAACTTTACTAGCTGTCATCTCCTCTCCATTCTCCTATCAAAACCAATAAAATCTGCATGTAAGAAAAACTCTTTAACTGAATTTGTGGAAAAAAGTAAAAGAGAAAGAGAATGTAAAATGCAAGAATGGCCAAAATCACAACCAAGATACTTATGCACTTAAATCTCAGGTGTAAAAATAGATTTAGATGCATCACTCTATTTAGGGATTTTTTCAAATATCAGTAATTACTTGAAGACCAATTTTTCACCATCAATTCTCAAAATCTTAAGAATTTTAACATTTGGCCCTTAGGGATTACACGGAGGTACAAATATTATCAAAACATCAGCAAAACAAGTAGCACAAATGGAAGTTATTCATGGCATACTTTAGAGATTCTCTCTATACTTTAATTTTCCCATCCTTTCTCAAAGCCTTAATAATTAGTTTTAAAACAGGAAATGTCAAATATAGAACATCAAAGAAAGAAAAAAGCTGGTGTCTTTAATTGAAACCTTTTTTTCTGAGCCTAAATAATAAACCTGACCATTTAAGGCCACTCCAGGTCATTCAAACACATGTCCTCATACACATTAATTATTACTTAGCCTTTAAACAATAAAGGGAAATTTACATGCACATGTTTCTACTGGGTTATCTGAGTTACAGGACATATTTATTTTTCTGAACAGCTTCTGGGATGACTTGACAAATGCAAACAGTTTCCTTTTCATATCCTGTTTCTAAGTGCATCTTATGGCTACTCTTTGAAGACATTTCAATATCTAGGAAGGCCATTGAGCCTATAGCAGAACACAAGGAGAACACTACTCTGCGCTTTAGGAGATTACAAGAAATTAGGAGATGGTGAGGGGGAAGAGAGAGCGCGTAGTATTGAAAATGGAAAAAATAACCAGAAATTCAGCTGGATTACCTGAGTATGTTCTAGGGTAAAGACATCTGTATCTAACATTTCTTCATAATAGGAATGTTTTCTTTAAAAAAAAAAAAAAAAAAAAAAAAAAGAACAACAAAAAACCCACCACTCATACGATCTTACGATCTTGTTTACCAGGCAGCCTTAGATTCTTTTCATTTTATTATTCATTATTATTATTTACAATTTAATTGTGAGCAACCTCACATATTTACTCTGTGCGTGTAACTACTGCCCGTCTACCGTGTGCTGTGCACAGAAGGAAGAGCAGCTAAGTGCAAGACACATTCGTCCAGAGGGAGTCGGATCTGCAGGCACACATGCCATGCTTGCCAATTCCTAGCTAAACTCCTTCATCTTAGGTACTCATCTAAACCTGAGAAAAGGGACTGTCCTTCTAAAGTCATTTTTAGGAGTAGAGCATAAACAACTAGGAAGACTACGGTGCTTTTTAAATTGTTATTTTACCAAACCCAATTCCAGAGGCAACTGTGTCTGCATCAGAACTGTATCAGACCCATAGGCTTGACTTTTCTCCTTCTGACTACAAATATAGAAGTTGCATTTATCATTTGAAAAGACTCCTCACTTAGAAAGATGCCTAAAATCACTGCCTAAAATCTTTTCCCCAAGGTGTAACAAGACCTTAAGATTTGTCTTAATTCCTGTTGCCAATCCAACATCTCTCCTCATGAGCGAGATGGAGAACTACTGCGGTGCATCTTTGACATGGCTCTATTTCTGAGCAGTTCTGGGCAGTCAAGGCAGCCAATATTCTTTCAATTACAAAGATGGAAAAACAAACACATCTTCACAGGGGATTAGAGATCTATTGAATTATCTATCTGTCTCTCTCATCTGCCATAAGAGACCTGACATTGCTCTGAGAAGGTTTGCTGTTTACAGATTTTAATCTCCAAGACAAGCAAAGCTCAGTCCCTCTGCAATAACGGCAGATAAGAAACCAATAGGCCCGAGGTTCTCTCTGTGGTGTGTATGACTCATTCAGCGACCAAGAGTGATTCTGGAACACTTTAATGTTGGTTTGCTTAATTTCAGTCAGACAGGATGTTTGAGCACATGGCTCTACTCCAGCCCAGGAATAACACACTAAGGGAAAAAAAAATAAAAAAAAAAAAAAAAAAAAAAAAAGGCCAAACCCAAAGAGCAAAAGGCCCTCCAATGAATCTATTAAGGCACATGGATAATATTTTCAAGGGCAACAGACCATAAATGGTCTAGACAAATGGAACCGACTTACAAAAGAAAGTCAGAACTACAGTGAGGACAGAGCTCCCAAAATATGACCCTCTTTGGGCCACATGTTAAATTTCTATTTGCCCTTTCTATGCTTAGCATGCGAATATATTTCTACATACATAGTGTTTTTTCTCATTATGACTGAAATCATATGTCTTAGTCAAAATTTTCCATAAGAAACTACATGTAAGAAAGAATTATGAGAAGACATACTTCAACATTCAAAACTAAATGCGCTTTTATCACTCTGCTGGTCATTCATTTCTTTTATTGTTAGGCAAATCTGACCTAGAAATCTGTCAGATTTGCCTAGCTAGATTTTACCTCCCTTCATTGAATATCACAGATTTTCTATGTAGTCTGATTTGCACAGTAGGTATTTTTTATTATCATGTATTTCTTCAGTAAGGACCTAACCTAAATAAAGTGCAAAATAGTGCCTAGAAAAAAAACTTATTTTTCTAAAGAAAATGAATATCTATAAACTGATGTTGACAACTGAATGAGAATACCAAAACCTTCAGTGCTTTAGTTATTTTAGAAAAGACAAATTTTTACAAAGTGAAGTAATAGCAAATAGATGCACATGATATTTATATGTTTATGTGATGTAAAAAAAAAAAAAACGAAATAGTGTGTGCATTCCATGATCTTTATATTTGACAAAAGGTAAAGCACGTGGTCATGAAACTTATCTGTATTGTCAAGATGAAGAAAAGACTATCATTTCTTTTCCCTTACAGACTCCAAAGTATATTTCCCACAAAGACAACATTTCAGAATACTCAGAAAGTTCTCCAGAGTAATGCATTTTGTACAATATTAACATATCTGAAGACTTCATAAAAACAGCATTTAAGCATGGCATTAAGCATGGCAAATCAACCCTACAGCATGAACAACTTCTGTTCCTCTGGAAAAAAAGGGTAAATCTGATACTGGGTCTAACCAATACCAAAATATCATTTCAGTAAAACATACATAAACTCATCATATTCACAGAAAACTACTTTCAGCCGTAAACAGCTAACATACATACTCGCTAACAATTGAAACACAAGAAATAAAACTTTTCTGACACCCTCTGCAGCTGCTACAAGACGACTTCTACTTTTTAAAGTTCCTTAAGCAGTAATATTACTTTGCTATAATAAAGGTATCAATACCATACAGTTTTCATGTGCATTATGAAGACTAGGTCATGACACTGCTTTAAAAAGAAGCAGAACACAACATGACCTTTATGGGGATGCTAAAGATCTCTTTGGTAGATTTTTTTTTTAATTATGATTTTTATTTTAAGTATAACTTCCAACCCTGCAGACATAAGTGCTCAGTTCTTTCCTAAATGGAACAGAAAAATATGAAAGTTCTGGAATCGGGTCAGGCGTTGTGGCTGGAGAAAAGAGAAAAACAACCAAGGAAAAGACTGGAAATCCTACGAACATTTTTATTACATGTGTATATAATGTCACTGAGTTA